AATGAAATATCGTAAAAAGGCTAGCTTGAAGCAAACCCCGTACTTAAGCCCATTTATAGAGAGAGTAGATTACAGTGCAATAATGATTGGTGTGGAACAAAAGGCTACCAATCGAATTATGTATAATTGTAAGTACAAGAATTACTATAATAGTTACTGTGATGTCAAATTGCATTAGTTTTATTTTGAAGAATATTATTTATTACAATTTTAATGTTTATATATATATGTATATATATATAGTTATGTAATTCTGTTAAGTATTTGTGTATAGTAGAAAAATAATAATAAATTCTTTATTCACCAAAATTTACATTATTACAGGGTGTCTACCCCCAACTAGATTCCTTTCTGCGGCTAGACTCTTCCGTGATTTCGAGAAAAAAATGAAAAATTATATCTACTATTACTTATAAAGTTATTATATGTAAGTATTTAAATAATAAAAAATAAATTAAAAATATGGATAAATTTTGTCATGCAATTACCTTAATACAGTTTTCTGTTTAGTTAATTTAATTTTAGAAGAAAACTTTAATTTTATTTAATTGGGAAGATAAGAAGTAAGTGGGCTAATTATATTTTTATTAATGATAAGTTAAGCAGGAAGGGACCTTTAAAAGTAAAAAATCGTTGGGCAAAAGAGGTGTGTTTGACGAGTTCGGAATTGGACTTTTCGTTGTGTTAAAGATGTTTGCTCGGATGTTTTAGTTGTGATGGCGTTTTGAGTTGGCGAGAATTGATTAATATACAGTTGCCTACGTCAGAGATTCATTCTTTGTATAATTCTGAAGTTGGATGCCGAAACGGTTTTCTAAGGAAATTTTTAGATAGCACGCTGTGCCCGTTCTATTTTGAGCATAAGACCTGTTACCGCACCGCCCCATCGAAAATGCAATAAGATAACACAGATTGGCATAAAGCTATATAGACTGTCCTAATAGTATTAGTCTCTGCCGCCTTACTGAGGCGTTTAAAGGCGCTTGAAAGTTTTCGGACACGAGCGCACAGATAACTAATGTGAGGACCCCAAGAAAGCCTCGAGCTACCATTACCCCGAGGGTATTTAATAGAATCAGTCGATTCTATGGTTGGACATTGGCAGGTCGAGAAGGGGTTATGACAAGAATGGAGTTTAATAGGGGGGATTGGTTTTGGGGCAGTTGCCTTAGAGATGTTAAAACAAATGTATTTAGTTTTTGTTGTATTAAGCGAAAGAAGATTATTGGTGAGCCATTGAGAAATACGGGTGAGACCCGTTTGGGCAACGAGGGCGGCTTGTTCCCAGGAACGTGAATAAAAGATAATCGCCTGTCGTCAGCAAGGAGAATAACTTGGCATTAGAAAGCTTCATTTACATAAGTCGTTATGATTAGAATAAGAACTCTTATTGCACTACCCTGTGGCAAGCGTAGGAGACTACTTTTTCCAGGCTTTTTAAACTATCTATTCTGACTATTTGTTTTCTGTTGGATAGGTAAGATCGGAACCAGTTTAGGATGTTGCCCCGGAATCCTAATCTTTCCATTTTTTCCAACAGGATTGGTCTGGAGATAGTGTCAAAAGCTTTCGCTAATCGAGAAAAACCCAATACACCTTTGACCCTCGTCAATTTTGAGCTAACAGTCTCAACCAGACAGTAGTTGCGTCTTCTGTCGATTTGTTATGCCTAAAACAAATTGGTTATTAGCTAGCATGTCTTCCTTTTCCAGGTAATTGAGTAGTCTTGTATTGACGACTTTCTCCATAATTTTAGCTAAGCTTGGGAGAAGTGAGATAGGGCGGTAATTCGAAACTTGCGTCTTGCAACCGGATTTATGAACTGGGGTAATGTACGCAAGTTTCCACGATTCGGGAAAAATTCCTTGTTCAATACTGAGGTTACAAATGTATGCTATAGGCCTCTAATATATTTTTTAGGGAAATAATTATACGGTTGCTTATGATGTCATGTCCTGGGGCCGCATGGGGTTTAAGGGAGTTAATAATCTTAAGGATTTCACGCTCGTCGCAAGGGAGAAACAGAAAAGAGTTAGGTTTGGAGGGAATGGAAATATTCTGGACTAGATCTTTTTCAGTTCGCTTTAATTTGAGCAAGGTTTCTGTAGAAATCTTTTCGCCAATCGTTGAAAAGAATGAATTTACAGTATTGAGGGATTCTTCCGGGAGACAAAAAGTCAGAAAATCTTGCTAGCTCGACCTCTGATGGGACCACATAATATCGGCGTTAGTGGTCCCGACGTAGCTGAGTGGACTCTTTACTAGATATTAATGTAAAAAAAAATGTAAATAATTGTAAATATAATGTTAAAAAATCGAAAATAAAGTGAAAAAAATTCTCGACTCGGACAGGACTTGAACCGGCATCGTCAACGCTCCGTGCTGTTGCTCTACCAATTGAGCTACCGAGTCCTACACGTCTCGTCGAATTTTTTTCAACTTATATGATACATGCACCTCTCGCGCAATATAATTTCAACCTTAACACGTGCGTATTAGTAGTGCCTTCATGTGCAATAAATAACATGCAAAAAATATTAAAGTTTTCAAAAATATAATGTTGTTTTAGAATAAACGTTATTTTACAGGTTAAAACTCAATTGAATTTTATAAATTTTTTAAGATTTCATAGACACGAGTAAACTGCAGACGACTAACAGAAAAACAGAAGAGCACACTAAAAACCTTCATATATAAATTAACATTTGCGCTTAACACATTTTACAACTGTACTAGAGAGACGGCCAATATATCACACAAATTATAAGAATTTTACTGAAAAATTGTCTATGGAATTTCTATAAGAATATGTATATATAATTCCATAGACAAAATAGGCAGATATAAAAAATTAAAATAATTTTCTCATCTAGCTCGATACAATATAAACGTAGGATATAATCATAGATAAGAAATGTAAAGTAAAGTTGCATTATCTGTCTCGAAGCTATGTTTTCTCACAATGTAAGAAAGTTGTAGGACCGGAGACAATGCTCTTGCGCAAGCGTAATTTAATTAAAGTGGAGTTATATAACTCGATTCAATGGCCTGTAAATTGATACAGTCCCGGATCACTGCTTTAAGTATCTTTTGCAAGAAGGGATGATGTGTTTTAGCTTGATACATGACCTTTAAAATGTCTTACTTAAAACATATATGACTATCTCAGCAACACAATGGTTAAGCGCATTGCGCATTTTTGTAGCACTAGTCATTGTGGTTTAGTTTTTTCACCCCACTGGAGGAAACGGTTACTTACTTTAATCAATAATGTATGACTACTTAGCTTAATATAAAGTTCAGTGTCTCAGTTTTGGATAATACACCCAAATATATAGTACTCAAACAGACATTTTCTTATCTACAAGTATTGTTTGTTTGCTACGGTATAAAAATATATTTTTTAATATAAGTATTTTTTCTTTTTACAAAATTATGTATTATCAATTGTATCAATCATAGTATTTGTAAAATATACTTTAGTCTGTGACACAAAAAGTCTATCTCAAAAGAAGTAAAAGACCCTATAAATAAAAATTATTACCACGCTATATTTATTTAATAAAGATATAATGTACGTAGGTAGGCACGATTCAAAACGCAAAGACGTCGTGAATAAGTTCTTTAAAGACTCAGCAAGTTTTCCTAAGGCCCAAGAAACAGATGGCGCTAGCTGGCAGATTTGACTTTAACATTGGGGACACCTCTAGCTTACTTCCTCCCGTGACTACGTCTTAAACGGTTGAAGTAAATCAAACATAAGTTCGCGAATATTTCGCGTTTTAAACCGTTTAAAGTGTTATTTTGAATGTGCACTACTTGCGTAAACTACAGACAATACTTACATATTTTTTATTTAATTAGAGATTATGAGCTTGAGAATCGCATAATCAGTAAGCAAGTGTCATTGTATTTAAAGAAAAGCTCATAAATACATGGGAACTGATGCACATTGAAGGCTTTTGTATAGCGTGTGAAAATCGAGAAAAACTAACTCGCTATTGTGAAATTTGATGAGAATGTGATTCGATGTATACAGTTACAGAATTTAGTATTGTATGTAGCTTACGCGACTAGTATACACTTAAGGGTTATTTATTTAAATAAAAACTTTTAACGTGTTAAAACTACTACTACCCGATATTTTGCATTCTTTGTAAACAGCCGTGCTCTTAGACTTACTAATTTGTTTCATGTTTAAGCCGTTAAAAAATTCTTATCTAGAAAAATATATAATCATTACGTAGTAAGGAATACATTTTAATAATTTTCATAAATATAATGTTAATTTGCTTTCAGTTTAAAAGAATAGTTTTCTAAAAATCAGCATTTAACTATCTCCTTTATAACATCTTTGATCTCTGTCTTATCCTATATTATATATGTGTTTTCAGTCGCACAAAATATTTTTTTCTTTCAGATACGTGATCTCCGATGAAGAAAAATATCGCAAGAAAACACATATGTCTGAAAATCGTTACGTTACGTTACGTCTACCGCCACCCATTTGACCAACATATTACAGGATCATATAGCCATAAAAGGGGCCGAGACCCAACTGTTGAAATTATTAATGGACTGATATCTTAATTAAATCGATTTTAGATTGAAAAAAAATTACGACACGGAAAACAAGAATTAAGCTTTGGATGCTCCACAGCGTACCGTGCTCGACCATTTGACAATGTAGCTCAATTTATCTTAAGAATCACGTGAATAGTTCTACTTTATCTTATGGTAATACATAACAAGTGTAACATTAAAGAGGTCGTATTATCGGGAAGCATATCATATAACCATATCATCCCAAGTAACAAAAGATACGGAAGGCCGTATAAACTTTCATCCACCGCGCCATACAATGCCGTCGCCCTACAAGGATGCCCTAGTGAAAGTGGGGCCCCGCTCGGACGGCATTATGTCACACTCGACTTTTCGTCTCGACCGGCTCAGTGCGGGCGTCGCGCGCGCACCTCACGAAAAGACATGCGCCTGTGACCATGTACCGCCTAGTGTTTACGATCCTAGTTTTAAGTGGCTGTTTTTGTAACGATGCAAACGAGACGAAAAGCGCGCGCGAAGAGAAACTCCGCAGTGCTCTAATAGACGCCTTCCAGAATATAAAAAAAGCATCAGCTAAGGGCGCTATAGAGGACTCCGATCTAATAGGATCCGTAAATAAGGAGAAAAATGCGAGAACGAACGACGACTCTTTCGATCTATTCGCCGATGAAGACGGGCTGACGTTCAACGCAGGGTTGGAGACGGAACGACCGGTCCCGACCACGGAGAAGTCTCACAATGTACAGCATATTAAAACGATGAAAGCGGAGAAGACGGTGAGACCGAGAGACGAGGAGGAGAGGCCGGTGAACGAAAGCGCGGTGATTCGAGAGGTGGACGAAAATCTACTGGGACTGGAGAGTATGCTGCGAGTGATAGATGCGGAGATATTGGTGGCGCAGTGGGTTAAGTTACGAGAGACGGTGTCGGGTCAATGCAGGGAGGATCTCGAGGAATATGTGGACGGGTTGAAGGATCGGGTGCTCTGGGCTCTGAAAAGTAAGTCAAAAAAGGTTTTTAGATTTAAAAATTTGTATTCGAAGCTTGCATTTTGTTGGTCGCCTGACTTAATCGACCTCGATCTTAATTACGTAAAAAAAGCCGATGTCCAATATGTTTAAGTCGATAAAAAATAAATTTTAAGTAGGTCAGTTAAAATATTTCCGTCTTTCAAAGCCTTTTTATAAATTATTTATCTACATAGTATGTACAAGAGCTTGTTTCCTACTTGAAATAAATAAAACCCACTTGGGGCTTGCTATTTTTTCATATAAAAGTATGTACTGAAAAAGAAACATATTTAAGATAAGCCGTTTTCTTTTCTTTATTTAATACAGCTTTATTATTCATAGTACATACAACAAGAGATAAAAACTCACGTACTAACTTATAAATAATAGACGGCCTTATCGCTAAGTAGCGATTTCTTCCAGGCAACCTGAAAACAGGAATAAAAATAAAAAATACGCTTATTGAGTGGGTAGGTGTGAGGAATTTTTTCAATATTGTTAAAATACTTTTTCAATTTATACAAGCTAAAATGAAATATTCAAGTGGCAAGTTGCGTCCGTTCGCGGCGTCCGTCGTTTATGACATAATTGTGTTCGCGCCTTTCACGGTTCTTCCGCAACGCACGGATTACATAACCACATTAACCTTCTTAACGGCTTTCTACCCCCCGGCTAAAGTGCAGCCGACCACCACTGCATAGATTAAATAAATCAAGTTTAGGTGATAAAAAGCTTCTGAAATCTCAAGTCAAAGCTAATTCTAAAGTGCCTTGTACGTTTTAAAACGTGAAATGTCTTAGTTAATTTTTCGTGTATTCCTTTTCTATTTATTACGTGCCACTGTGCAAAACAAAAACTGATATTTTGTAGCCAGCAACATCGCAAGGAAATCTATAAATAAAACAATTTTAAGGGTTCAAAACGCGAAACGTATTCATTACTTTTTGTATATTCCTTGTTTTATTTAACGTGTATCACTGTGCAAAATATAACTGACATTTTGTAAACAGCTAGTAAATCTATAAATATAACACTTTTAACGGTCTAAAACGTGAAATCATGAGGGCCCGTGGCTGATTAACAGCATCCAAAATATCGAGTTATAGTTAATATAACAATATTCAATATTTCTAACTCGCGTAATTGATTATTTCTCAAAATATTCCTTGTTACTATTCGTCTCCTAAAATTTCAATTCAATCATTGTTTATTATATAAAATCAAACAAATAAAACCATAATCCTTCCATAATTAATGGTCAGAAGAAACTAATAAAGCTTCTCGACTTTTATGTAGGCGAAAATGATTTTGTTGTATTACAGCTCAGTCATAATAAAAAATAAACTTTTTAGTTGAAATAATCTTTGATAATAATTGTTTAAGGCAAATTGTTTTTAAACCGGTCGTAGTGTTATGCCATTTTTAAGGTTTCCACTTTATTATCTAAGTGGTTATGCAATATTTTGGCGAAAAAATGTGGGTCAGTGTACAAGGTACCGCTTGCGAACTGTAGAACCGATGGTAAAAGTATTGAGGTTAAAGTGGGTTCCGTTTATATCACTATTGAAAGTGCAACGATTTTTTTCTTGAATTTTCCATCCTTTACTGAATTATTGCTACTGAAAACTGGTACTGAAAACTGCTACTGAAAATCCACAACGACAGGCCCTAGTTAAAATTAATTATAAATAAATTAAATAATATATGTCACGTTTTAAACCGTTAATTGTTTTATTGAAATGTGTACTACTCGAGTAAACTATGCATATGTGGTTGGTTTATCAAAGCCCTGAATAACTTAAGAAATTATTCAGGGGAATAATTCCTTATTTTGTTCTTTATGCTGTAAAAGTTAATTTTAATTCATCACAAGTTTACTATTTCATGGCATTAAAAGATTATTATATCAGCTGCACTGGCGCAACGACCCAGGGCGAGTCTAGGTGTCCGAGGCTAAAGAACACCGTTTAGGTTTGCCTCCACAATAATTCTTTCAAAAGTTTTCACTCTGTAATCAATCACGGCGTATTACATAAAGATAATATTATGAAATAGTGTTAAGAAATAGTAGAAATTAATATGAAGGTCGTTGCAATGTTTTGGGTATCGGCCCTTGTAATAATCGTGATTCATATTTTAGTCAGGTGTCGTGTTTTGAAACGATATCTGTGGTAATAGGCCATGTAACGGTCATCGGGCCGAGTCATATTACTCACGATAGTCAATTGTCATCGTGGCAGTTGACGTCATGTGATTAAATTAAAAAAAGTCCTTCAACCTCTATGGTCAACAGTGTACATTGACATGGGCAGAATGGTCTGGTGCCTGAAAAAAAAAGACACTGGCATCCCTAAATTGATTTGGAGATTCTATTAGTACGATAAATAGGAACCAAGGAGATTAAAGACGTAGAAACCTTCATTGTTAATGTTAACGAATGTTTGAAAAGAGTCAGATTATAGTCAAAGATTTAAAAATACTCTCTCTCAAGATCGTTTTCAGAATAATGATAGAATATCTTCGATGCTTTCATCGTGATCTCATTTCAGTCTCATTAATCTCATAGATCTTACTATGCAAGACCTAAGAAACTATGTAGTTTGTCTAATAGACAAGTTCCTTATTGCAAAATACTGTGTAGGCTTTGACGCGGTAGGTTATTTTAGGTTCCACAAAAAATGGAATTCAGTTTTCTCAAGTGGAAGATCCTCTATTCATTTCACTGCTCACTTTTAATTACAAACTAGTGGATGTGCAGACTATTGTGCCCTGCTATACCTAAATTATTATGTTTCCCTAAGATTTAAAACCGCCTGCTTAACGCGCGATAGGCGATGCATTGTCAACATTCGTACCACGGAGCGGTCAATTTTTTTATGATTAATTGTATTTCGTATATCTAAATAAAATTAGTATAAAAAATTATTTACGTTTGTATCTGCAATAAATATTTATAAGCTATCATCTATACTAATATATAAAGCTGAAGAGTTTGTTTGAACGCGCTAATCTCAGGAACTTAGGTTACAACATTTATTGGGAAGTTTATAGGCTATAAAACTACGTGACTACTGGAAACAGCGAAAGATACAGCGGGAAATGTCGAAAAATTGTTATGTGTACCATTACGTACGCTGCGAAAACGTTTCAAGATACCCAAAATTTTATTAATTTAATTTAATATAATAAACCTATTGCCATAAGCATCTAAGTCTCTTGCATATTAGTCTTATCTGTATTATTATTATCTGTGCAATAAATAATCAATAAATAAATATAAAAAATATTTACAACATATTAATTTATAGTTTTAAATGTAAAGTTCTTTAAAATATACTTTAATAATTATTAATAAGTCACGCACGTCAAAGTAAAATAAGATATTTTATTTGTTAACTAAGTAAATATTTTACGAATGTTCTTCGTGTTTGAGGACAGATGAGTTTATTTTACAAAAGTGTGAAAAATCACACCTATCAATGAAAAAATATAAGAACAAAGGTGTTTTTTAATTGTGTGTTAACATATGATAAAGTTGCAACTTTGTGTGAGACTGTTATATGAATACAACAAAGTCTAATGTATTATAATATTATAAAGTTGGAGAGTTTGTTTGTTCGATGAAAGATACTCTTTAAATAGTAACAAAAATTTTTTTGCCAAGGGCCCTTTCAAAAAACTTAATTTGATTAAAATGAAAGATCATTCATTACCAATTAGTTATTAGATTTGTATTAACATAATAATATCACTCTTGCAAACAACGAAACGACGTCTGCCGGATCAACAATTTCGAAATATCGCTCGTGCTCGGTACCTAAATAGCTATAGCAAAAAAAAAAATGGTTAAGCCGCCGTCGCATATTTTAAGTTACGTTTAAATTAAATCTCGAATATAATTGTACGACTCGGGCTGGACTTGAACCGGCAACCAGAGCGTTCTGTGCTGTTGCTTAATTTTAAATTTATAATCAATTTCGAATTTATATAGTGCTATCACGTGCAGTAATATGTGAAAAATATTAAAATTTCCTAAGTTAAGTTTACCTAAATAACTCTTGCTTTAAATACATTTTGGGTGATTCCTTGATAGGTGTAAATTGTTAAGAATTATGCGAAGGTTTTAGTATGTCAACGTACTAGTAGGTAAGCATTGTCTGTAGTTTATAAGAGTAGTTCACATTTAAACAAAACAATTTTAACGGATTAAAACGCGAAATATATTAGTAAACTTATTTGCCATTTATTTTCAACGACGGCCCCACGTTTCGGATGCTTTATAGCAGCCACCCTTTTAAACCGTTAAAAGTGTTTTAACGAACGTGAGTCAAATTATTTTTGTCCGACCTAGTAGAATTAAAAAAAATGTCCCCAATAAAAAGTACAAATAAAAAAGTAAAAAGATATTTTCATTAAAATTACGACATGCAGGTTTTATAAAACGCCCGACGACGTACTCAAATGCCCTAAAGCAAAATAGGTCGATAGCACATAATAATTAGAATCTAAGATTAGAAATAAAAATATATAATTAACCCCAATTTTATCTAACCTCGTGGGTAAGAAATACACTATAAGCTGGTGGGACCTACGACTAGTGATGCATACCTTAACTCCTATATGTCGACAACATACCGTTATGTGTAGACACAACTTTATTTGTCTTAATAAAACAAAACTTTTTGATTACAATACTACACTAATACTTTGATTGTCGCCCAATTTCTCGACTTATTCATTAATGTCGATTATAACAGAAAGAAATTCAATGTATAAGGTATTTGTTAAGTTAGTCTCATTTAACGGCCGCCTCTGTTGCCAAATGGTTAAACGTATTGCCTACTAGCAGGTCCTGGGTTCGAAACCGACGAGGTAACTGGTTTCGAATCGCCTGGGCACAGAAGTCTGATCAACTACTTCCCCGTTAAAAGAACGGATAAATGAAACAGGCACAGAAATATGTTCGCCCCGGTGCCCCACGAGGTGGAA